ATTCTATGATTCTATGAAAGGTAGAGATCTATTTGTTGGCAAATCAATTCCCTTGCTATGTGATTGTTTCATTTAATTTTTTTAATGTGGATGATAGTAACTGGAGCCTTTGGTCTAACCTTCCTGTGTGGTTAATGGACAGATTTAGGTATTGCCAAGATGATTCATCTCACTTAGAGACTGTATTTTTTGATGGAATGAAAAAAGTATAGCTTAAGAAGACTAAAAGTTTTGTGAGGTAAATCCTATCTTTTGTGTTTGATTCTCCATTCTTAAATTGGAGATGCTGCTTGCCAACTTCTGCCAGTATTTTTTTTCTGCCTATTTGAAAGGGATATTCTATAAACTGGAATATTATTAATCATAAACAACTGAGTATAGTAGATTCAGCCTACTACTATGACTGTGTATTTTATCAAATGCCTATCATAATTAAATGTTTCTCATAAATATTAGAAGGTTTTCATATTATCAAACAAAATATTAGTTAAAAAGGACCAAAATTGGGTGTTTAAAAAATTTGCTTAAATTATGCCTGATTTTGGTAATATGCTAACACAATAAAAACTGTCTGCTAAAGTAAAGTGCAATTTTAGCAGTCAGCAAACATATAAATGTATTTCACAATTCCATTTTAAAATCTTCACAGTAAAAAACAAAACAAAAAACAAAAACCACAACACATTAAAGCTTTGCTTAGGATGGTTTTATTTCCTTTTAAAATTAGCCTCTAATTTTTTGGCAGAGCAAAAACAACACATACACACCATTTATATTTAAATTTAAGTCAAGTAGTGGAAGGGAAGTTAAACTGTTTCTGGAACCCTTAACTTTCTGTTGAGCTACGTTTAGGTTCTGATTCTGTATTGAAATTCAGTCTACTACTACAAAAATTTTATGATTCTTGGAATTAGAGCAGTGTTTTGAGGCTATGTGAAATTGCAGACTCCTTACAGAAACCCTATTACCCAATGTTATGCGTAGCTAGATCCTCTTAGAGAGACCAAAATGTAATGGTCAATAGCTACATCCTCATCTCATAAATATTATTATTTCAAAGAGAAAAAAGAACCAAACCCAACCCATACAAATTAAATGAGTCCAAAAGTAATGCAAATTACAATGAGTTTGCAGAATCATTATATTTAAATTTGTTTAGGAAGCTGCTATGGTCTATCGTGTGTCTTCATTGCATATTTATTTCAGAAATACTGCTGTGGATGTAAAAAATAAAGTTGATAAAGGTCACAGATTTGGGAGCTAAAATTCTGCATTAGGAAGTACATGCTTTAATGAGTAAGTCCCTGTCCTCTCAATTCAGATGCTAGAAAGCTTGTTTACAGAGTGAATCAATCTATAGAGATCTTTAAAAAGGGGCATCCTGTTGGCAGAAGAATTGGCAGATAAGTTGTTCAAATTAAATGGTTGGGAGGAGAAAAAAAAAAAATGAAATCACCACTGTTCCTGAAACTGAAGGCTTAAACTGTCTTTTGAAAAGCGAGAAGCAATTGTGTGCTACATTTTGTTAGAAGTAAGGAAAGAATAAAAATCTTTGAACATAGGTGGGAACAGCTCTTCAATCTTTTCACAAATAAATATGAATAAACAAACACTGATGATTCCAAGTAGACAGTTTGATAGTTTCTCTGGGCTAGCACTTGGCCAGCAGCCAACACACCTGTTCTCTCACTCCCTCCACCCCCAGGGGATAGGGGAGAGGACTGGGGGGCAAGGGTAAGGAGACTTGTAGGGTGAGATAAGAACAGCTTAATAATAGAAATAAAAGAAAACTTAAAATAATACTAATATTAAAATAGTAGTGATAATGATAACAATAACAATAACAAAATTCGCAAATCAGTGATACCCAGTGCAGTTGATCACCACCCGCTGACCAAGCCCGGCCCGTTCCCAGATAACGATCCCAGAGGAGCGACAATCCCGAACAGAAACCGCAATCCTGGGAGAGCAAGAGCCCGAGCGAAAGCCAGAGAGAGCAAGAGAGGGAGAGACCCTCACTAATATACTGGACATGGTGGGATATGAGATGGAATATCCCATTGGCATATACAAACACCTGTTTGCCTTAGTAATTTAAATATTCCCTGCCCCCTAGATCTTGCACTTGCAGACTAACAAAACACAAAGTCCTTCACTTCCAGCAACAGAAATGCAAACACTGGGATGTTCTCAGTGTTTTTCTCATAACAAATCCCAGCTGGAACCAAAACACAGTGCTGTTCTAGCCGCTAAAGAAACCCAGCTCTGTCCCAGCTAAAAACCAGGACAGGGTTGTGTTAGGATTGCACGAGTCCTGTATCCCAGTGGAGATGAGGCTGTCAAATCTGCATACCTTTAATTCCAGCCCGCAGTGAGGATGAGCATGTATTCCCAGACACAGATGTCCATATCAATAAATGTTTATACATATGCACGTGTGTGGCCACAAAGGTCTACACAGGCAGAATCTCTCAGCCAGTGCTGACACAAACAAACAGCACCAGTGGTCTCATCCTGTTAATCTCAGAGTCACTGTGCCAATTAGCCTGACCTCTCGGTCCTTCTAGTAGCCATCTCCCCTGGATGCCTCGCTCCCAGGACACACACATACATCTGGCTTCCAAGCCACTGAAGGCCCTTGGACATTAGTCTGGTTTCACCTTTACCTGCAATCTCACACTGACATGCACGCCCTCACTCGCTCCAGTTGCTGGCACCCCAGATGTACAGGCCCTGTGACCTGTTATCTGGCTCCAGCCACTGGCCCACAGCTGTCTGTACACACAGCTCACACACATGGAGCAGAGACACTCACCCAGGGAGAGAGTTAGAAATTGGGTTTGGTAGGAAGTTAGGCCTTTTTATATCCTTATCCCTTATTATTTAAATGTAGCATCTACTATTCTTCACAGGTACTAAATGGAGAAGCCTTATTAGAACATGTGTGTTCAGGACTGAAGCTGTCCGATGTTACTTGTCAAGTTCTGTAACAGCCTGACTCCCTGCAGTTAGCTCTTTATCACTAATTAAAAGTTTTCATATCAAAGGTATTCTTCTCCTTTAATAAATAAAAAAAAATGGTGTGTTGTTGAAAACTTCATGAGCTAAGAACAGTTAGAGTGTATTTTTGGCCTTTTGGTGACACTGCTTCTGTTACTTAACAGAAAACTTCTTTGGTTATACAGGTAAAAGCTCTCTATCGAATAAAAATCAGAATTCATACATGAGAGAACCAACCATACAACTAATCTTTTCAGTTTTCTTAGCAAGACTAATCTGTATAAAATTCATTAGTGGCATACTAAATTCTAGAGGTCTTCATTGGGACTGGAAATCTCTAGTTTATCATGTTCCTTAATCTCTGCTACCTCAAATTACCTTTCTTCCCTTCCCCATCCTCCTCATCTGTGGATTGCTTTCAAAGGCTTTCATTATATTTTTTTTTTTAATGAGCTGCATTTCTAACTGTAGAAGGAAGACAAGACAAGCTGTTACTTGTATTAATGGACATGAAAAACACTATCAGACTTCTAGATTTTAAAAAACTTACTGTTTCATGATTGCTCTAACACTAGTAATGAAATATTACCTCCATCTTACCTTGTTACTTCAAGGAATTTACAGTTGCCCAAATTAATCTGTTTATTCTTTTCATTTAAAACATGTAAATGTTTGAACTTTTTTTCCCAGCTATTGTTATATCAAACCGTTTGAAAGTATTCTGCATGCTTTAATATTTTCCTATATCTCTTTTCTTTTCCTTTTCCTCTCACTAGAATTCTGTTTTGGACAGACTGGGATGCAAATTTTCCTCGCATTGAATCCGCTTCCATGAGTGGAGCAGAAAGAAAAATCATATATAAAGATATGGATACTGGAGCCTGGCCTAACGGCCTTACTGTGGATCACTTTGAAAAAAGAATAGTGTGGACAGATGCCAGGTAAAGGGATAACAGTATTCTTATTATCTGTTTATAAATCCTTATTCTTATATACAGAAATGTGAACCACATTGTAAGTGGAATGTAGTTATAGACATTATGTACATTATGTATTATATTATACTGTAGTTATATACATTATGTATTATATTATAATGTAGTTATAGACATTATATACATTATACACAAAAGTCTTGTGTATAAATGTACACTTCTGTAATTGCATTACTATTACACATAATTTCTTCATGGTCTGTACCAGCAGACCTTAATAGCCCTGACCAGATTTCTCAGGGACCTCCTCCCACAAACCCTGCCTGTGGGCCCAGAAGCCCATTTCAGCTCCACCCCAGGTACCCCAGAGTAGCACCACTGGAGCAGGTCTCCAGCCCAGCCACAGCACTGCCTGGCAAGTGCTGGGCCCTCTTGGTCCAGATCCCAACCCACACGGTGGCTTCCTCATCTGACATTCTCTTGTCACCACAAACTCTTCTGATGATGTGGACTCTTGATTGAATCTGGCTGAGTCGGAGCTGTTCAGCCAGGAGAGGAGAAGGCTCCAGGAGGACCTTATAGCAGCCTTCCTGTACCTGAAAAGTGCCTATAAGAAAGTTGGGGAAGAACTATTCACAAGGGCAGGTAGCAATAGGATGAGGGGTGATGGTTTTCAACTAGAAAAGGGTGGATCTAGGTTGGATATTAGGAAAAAGTTCTTCAATGTGAGGATGGTAGAATACTGGAACAGATTGCCCAGAGAGGTAGTGGAGGCCCCATCCCTGGAGATGTTCAAGGTCAGGCTTGATGGGGCTCTGAGCAACCTGCTCTAGAAAAGACATCCCTGCTTACTGCAGGGGGATTGGAGTAGATAACCTTTGAAGGTCTCTTCCAACCCAATACATTCTATGATTCTATGATCTGCCCTACTCACCTTACTTGAGGGCGGTGGGATTTGGCCCTGGACACGGAAGCCTCTGCCCTTTCAGCTGTGGTACCATCCGTGGCTCCTGGCTCCCTGTGCCTTAGAGAGCAGTTGGCCAATAGTCCTCCCTGACACTTACACATAGAGGACCCAAGCTATTTCACTAGTTATTCCATAAATTCATCTGAATGGAAACTGATTTTCCTGCTGTATTTTCACAGCATGGAGATAAATTTAAATTTAAAAACAGTATACAAGTAAACCAGTATTTCATATCTTTAGTTAAATTAATAGTGTGAGCTAAATAATCTCTGAAGTTAATGATACACTGTAAACATTCTTTGGTCTTACCAGTATCTTAAGAGTAAGGTTTTTATACATTTTGCACCAATATTGTAATAGTTGTGTGATTTTTATTTTATTTTTATGTAATCATAAATTTGGGGTTATCTTGTAGATCGGATGCCATTTATTCTGCATTATATGATGGAACCAGCATGATAGAGATTATACGGGGTCATGAATATCTTTCGCACCCGTTTGCCGTTTCTTTGTACGGGAGTGAAGTGTATTGGACAGATTGGAGGACCAATACACTTGCAAAAGCCAATAAATGGACTGGCCAGAATGTCAGTGTAATACAGAAAACAAGTGCTCAGCCATTTGATCTTCAGATTTATCATCCAAGTCGTCAACCACAAGGTAACTATTTATAGAATAATAAATTATTATTCCTATGAGGGGAGAAAAGTGTTCCTTTTGTATGCAGATATCTGTATCTGTATTTACATTGAATGGACAATTCTTAACTAAATGTCATATTCAGCACTAGTGTTCCTTGGGTGGTAATACAATCTTTATTCAAACCTGAAGCTTCATGGGATCAGTGTCTGTGAGTATTGCCCATTTGGACTCTGGTGCTTGATCTGGTACAAATACAGTGCAGAACCACGTTTCTTTAAAAGGCTTCCAAGTTACTTTTTTATAACTGGAGTATCTTGTCTGACAAAAGTAAATACAACAATGTTAGCTGGCTTTCTCTTACTTCTCTCCAGAGGAATATGGATGTTCTTGTGAAATAAACAGTGTATGCAATTGTTAGTTGTAAATATTTACTTTGTGCTAAAATTTGCCTTAATTTACTCATTCACTTCTCTGTCTCTATTTGCTTCTCGGTCATCTTGTTCACTCTTAGGACTGCATAATTTAGATTCCACCACTTCAGACCACTACTTTTCTACCTAAATAGCCTCAACTGGGTATTCTCCATAAACTGACATTTTTCCAAAGCATGGCCTATTCACCCAACAGCTTTTATCTTAAAATAACATTTACAATTTTCAGTTTCAAATTAACACAATATGTCTTTCATGGGAGAATGAACTCAGCCTGCTGGAGGCATGAGTTTGGCATTTAAAACTTCAAGAAGCATCAAACTTCATTTTGATGTGGATAAAAATTAAAACTGAAAGGAAGTTCACCTTATTTGCATTAATGAAATAATGGGAAATTCTTTAGTTATTTCTTGATACATTATTTTGTAACTTTAACTTCCCATTTTCATCTGTATAAAGCTTATCTCTTCACGTGCATATATTTCCATTTCAATTTTATACCAGCTTTTATACAATAACATTTCTTTAAAGCAGAGCACTGCTGTATAATTATGGTAAGTACATAGGCTTTGTCATTAGACAGTCCAACATAGGTGTGTATTTAGTAATCTTCAGCTACCATAACTTAAGATAAAACTGTATTAATCTTGAAAATAGATAAAATCTGTTCAGTTTTCATCTGGTTTAACGAAATATTCTATTTAATTCCTAGTGAAATATTCAACAACCTGCTAAGGTATAGCTCCTTTAGACAGATTTACAATGTCTGTCACATAGGTAAAAAGACTAATGATTTTCCTATAATTTCAGCTGAAGCTTCAAATGATTTTATCATTACATAGTGAATCTCTCATTCAGATGGTAAATAGTTAGTCAAGAACTTTAACTTATTGACTTCAGTGTTCCTATGTGTGAAGGTTCATGAGAACCAAGAAAGAAATCAGAGAGTAGCTCGTTAATTGCACATTTAGTATTTTTCTAGATTATAGCTCTATTTATTACTTCTCTGAGGATTATGAGGGTTACAAATACAGAGATTTTATTTAATGGTGTAAAATTATTTTCTACTCTAAATTTTCTGGCTTCAGTTGTGGCAATATATAAACTGTACCTAAGCATGTTGCTAATAACATAAGCAACAATTAAATCCAAATTAATTGTAGAGGGACTTGGCACATTTTGCATTGATTTCATCCTGATACCTACCTGTTGGTAGCACTACCTGCTACTGGTCCAAACACATCTTCCTGCCTTCCCTCATACTTTCTTTTCTCTAAAACTGTTGTCTAGTTGAGGATAGGTGAATCCAAGATACTTACTACAGTGCTGACAACTGGCAGAATTCTTCCTCTTCCTGACAGTTATCTCCACTTCTACCAGCATAAAAAAAACCCAAATTTTAATTGGGCATTATATTTCCTCCTTCTCTGACTTTGCAAATGTTGAGATCTTCAAAGTCCCTGCATCCTTGACCTGGGAATAATAAATGTTAAGGGAAATAGTTGGAAGGTGTTGTTATAGTCATTTACCAGGAGTATTTGACTTCTGAATCAGATGCTTGACTTCATTCGATGAGAAATAATGTGGATGAGGTGGTTAGAAAGTAGTAATGGAAGGATATGATAGGATTCTGAGCAGAAGAAAACAGTCCTGATTAAACTTCTTCAGTTTTGTTGTTGGAAGGGTACTTGGACGTCAGTTCTCTCAGTGGATCCCCATGTAAAATGAAGAACTAAATAAAGTGATATTTTTCAATATGACTATTGAAACATCAGCTACTTTGATGTTTAAAATAAATTCGAAGTTACAAAACCAACTATAGGACAGGAAAGGCATTATTATGATATTGCTAACAATTTCAAAACCCTTTCTTGGGAAGAGATACATTAGAGTACTGATCAAAAAGAGAACAGAACTCAGAACCTCTCAACCATGTCTGAAATGCCAGCTTTCTCAAGAGAGTCCAACTCTCCAATATATCTTTATTGTATGCATGTACAGTATGGTTGGACTCAATGATCTCACAGGCCTTTTCCAACCAAATGATTCTATGTGTAGCAAATCTTTTATTAGCTTTTTTTCAGCCGTCAGAGGGAAGAATTATCTGTAGACTTTTTTTATATATATTTTTATATCAATAACTCATGGGTTATTTGTACAACAAAACGGATCATCCAGAACAAGTAATGATTGATGAATGAAGTGAGATGTCCTCTTACTGGTTATGCATATGTTTAAGCTTATTTCAGCAACTGTTCTGCAGTGGTCTTTCTGTTTCCTGTCCCCTATAAGCTGTTCATTCTTCCCTAGGAACCTGACCATCGCTGCTTCTCCATCACCTGTCTTTGACTTTCTGTAGGTTATTTAGTATAAATGGGCTTAAGGATACAGATTATCTAGGGTGTGAATAATGCACAGTTTATTGACATCACATCTATAATAATGCATAGTTATTATGTGAACATAGACTTACACATTTATACAATATGTACTTCACGTTTGCAAATGCATATGTACATTTTCCCCCTTATTTTTATAGATTTGAGTTCAACGTTACATTCAGCTCTCTAATAGCATGCATTGAAAAGAGGAAAGCAATGAATACAACTCACTGTAGTTCATGGGTCTAACTATGGTGACAACTGTGATAAGGACTCTCAGTGAACAACTCCTACCTTGCAATATGTGACATGTGCTGTGAGGATGTGTTTTTCTGATAGATTTATTTTAAAATAATAATGAACTTACATTAAGAAAGAATGTTACTGTTTTTCAGTGGACATCAAGGTCCTTGGTCTTTATAACTTTTTGAAATAAGCCTCTTAGGTTAATTTACTTTTTAGGCCAGGGTACTGTTCTAACAAAGCTGTCTGACTTCTGAAAAAAGAGTATAGATATAGATATATATATATGCCCAGGATCTTAAAATAAGCGTGGAGTAAATATGCATCTCTGCACATCTCTTTCAAGAAATGGTTTTTGCTATTTTTTTATAATCAGTTACTTCCTGAACTTCTGGATTTGAGGAACTGTGTTCTTTATTTGGTGTTTTCACAGTAACAGTATGGTTCCCAGTAGCCCATGACTTGCTGTCAGAAAAAAACCAACTATTTTCTGTTTGGACTGGTGCCAGGCAACATCTTTAAAGAGAGACTATAGCCTAGGGAGATATCAGTCAGTATTCCATCCTCACAGATACCTTGGCCTCAAGGCAAAATAGAAGCTGTAGAAGAGTTTTTAGCAGTTATTTGCCAGAATCAAGAAGTTCAAATATGAAGTTGTGTAATTGCAGCTTTTTTTTGATGATGTAGAAAACACCAGATTCCAATTTATGTTTGGCCTTCTAGGTTTGCTGTAAATTATTCTCTTTCAATTGAAGCAATTTCTTTCTACAAATCTCCAGTACCTAGCTTTACTGGAGCTAGAGAAAAATTATATTATGCAATTACTTCTTAATTTTTCTTCTGAATTTGTAGCAATTTTACAATAAATGAAACAAGATAGCATGCAGTTTAGAATCGCAAGATAAAATTAATAGTAGATTTCCGCTGCAAAATATCAGTATAAACAAGGACAAACATTTTGTAGTCTCAACTCCATAAGTATACATCTGGGTCCCATATTAAGGTGAAAAGTTGTTAGCTTTTAAAATATTTTCAAACAACTTATTTTGATTGAAATAAAATAGAGCAGAGCTAAATAAATTCCTGTAGCCTAAAGCAACATTATTTCAGTTAATCTAGGACAGATGACAATTTAAGGTAGTGAAGTTATAGTGAGATATCTATATGGATGATTGGTTCATCTGTTAGTAAACCATAAGGGATTGTGGGAGGCTTCATGATGTAATGTAGAATCATAGAATAGTTTGGTTGGAAAAGACCATTACGATCATCTAGTCCAACCATAAGCCTAGTCTTGCCAAGTTCACCACTAAAGCATGTCCCCAGATACCACATCTACATGTCCTTTAAATACCTCCAGGGGTGGTGACTCTACCACTTCCCTAGGCAGCCTGTTCCAATACTTGACAACCCTTTCAGTGAAGAATTTTTTCCTAATATCCAACCTTAACCTCCCCTGGCACAACTTAAGGCTGTTCCCTCTCATCCTATCACTTGTTATTTGAGAGAAGAGACCAACACCCACCTCACTGCACCCTCCCTTCAGGTAGTTGTAGAGAGCGAGAAGGTCTCCCCTCTGCCTCCTCTTCTCCAGGCTAAACAATGCCAGCTCCCTCAGCCACTTCTCATAAGACTTGTTCTCCAGGCCCTTCCCCAGCTTCATTGCCCTTCTCTGGACACACTCTAGTGCCTCCATGTCCTTCTTGGAGTGAGGGGCCCAACACTGAACCCAGCACTTGAGGTGCATCCTCACCAGTGCCCAGTACATGGGCACAATCACTTCCCTGGTCCTGCTGGCCACCCTATTGCTGATACAGGCCAGGATGCTGTTGCCTTAATGGCCACCTGGGCACTCTGCTGACTCATGTTCAGCCACCAACACCCCCAGATCCTTTTCCACCAGGCAACTCTCCAGCCACTCCTCCCCAGGCCTGTAGCGTTACATGGGGTTGTTGTGACCGCA